TTCAGTAACAATGAGTTTTCATTAGGAACACACTCTTTTAAAAGTTTATTATGGAAACAAGAAACCCATTATTTTTCTTATGAATAGCAGTGGCATTTTCTATCCTTTTAATTTAGAATGAGGTTTTTAAAAAATACAATGTATGAAATACAGGTAGTATGCCTGTAATACTTAGATTATGGGTACATAGTTTTTAAAAGCTAGGTGTCTTTCAGATATAGGCAGAATCTTAGGAAGAGATATTTTCATTTGGGAACAAAAATAAAAATGAATATCATTTTAATACAACTGAATAGCCTTTTCTTTATATGTAAAACATAAAGACATGATCTACAGCAGAGGTCCCTGACCCTGGTGGTGCCTCAGACTCCCTGTGGAGCTGGGTAGGAACACCTTTGCCTAACCCCTACCCCGTTCTAATTCTGAATCTTTTTAACAGAGACCTAATGGCTATATTTTAAACAAACTTTCTGTTGTTTTAAGAAAGGGTCTTTTATAAATAAAAAACATGAATGCCTTGGCTGGTTTGGCTCAGCAGTTAGAGTGTCGGCCTGCGGTCCAGAGAGACCCGGGTTTGGTTCCCGCTAAGGGCACGTACCTCGGTTGCAGTTTGTCCCCGGCCCTGGTTGGGTCGTGTGGGTAGCAACCACTCGATGTGTCCCTTTCACATCAATGTTTCTCTCTCTCTCTCCCCCTCCCACTCTATCTGAATAAAATGTTGAAAGGTGTCCTCGGGTGAGGATAAAAAAGTATATATATACGAATAATAAAATGGCAATAAATACATATCTATCAAAAATTGAATCTAAAAAGCAAAATAAATGAACAAGCATACCAGAAACAGACTCATATATACAGAGAACATTAAAAAATTTTTCATTATTGATTTTAGAGAGAGAGGAAGGGAGAGGGAGAGAGAGAGAAATGTCGATGAGAGAGAACATTGATTGGCCGCCTCCTGCATGTCCCCCACTGGGGATTTGGCCCACAACCTGGGCATGTGCCCTGACTAGGAATCAAACTGGCGACCTCTTGGTACATGAGCTGATGCTCAACCACTGAGTCACACTGTCCAGGCAAAATTGTTATATTTTATTATAAGGTTATCTCTATCAATATGCAATGGGTCATTATTGTTATTTTATGTGTTTTTTAATTGATTTTTTTTAGAGCGAGAAGAAGGGAGAGAGAGATAGAAACATTGATGAGAGAGAAATATGGATCAGCTGCCTCCTGCACGCTCCCTACGGGGATCAAGCCGTCAACGTGGGCATGTGCCTTGACTGCGAATTGAACCAGGACCTCTCACTCCATGGGATGATGCTCAATCCACTGAGTCACACTGGCTGGGCCATTATTGTTAATTAATTAATTAATTAATTATTTTATTTATTTATTTATCTTTATTGTTGAATGTAAAATGTATTACAGATGTTCCACATTTTCCCCCATTTACCCCCTCCTCCCCACTCCCGACCCCTCCCGCCTTTTCCCACACTCTTGTCTGGGTCCATTGGTTATGCATATAAGTTCTTTGGTTTATTTCTTCCCACCCCCTCAACCCCTTTCCCTTTGAGATTATTTTAAATTAATAATAAATATAAATATTTTAAAAACTTTTAGTTTTAATTTCTAATATAATAAATATATTTTATGTATATTTTTATAATTCATATTGAAACAAAGTTATTTGGGGTCTCAACAACTTACGAGAGTAAAGGGGTTCTGAGACCACATGCTTGAGACCCGCGCACCTGGAAGGGCAACTGTGGTTTCAGTGAGTGTCTGGGGTTTCAGGTGCAGTTAGATTTGAGAGCTCTGTGCCTGTACTTCTGTGACTGACAGAGTACATCTCTTATGATTGCCACATTTCTAAGGAAATCCCTGCCTTGCCCACCGTGCAATTCTTTTTTTCTTTAATTGAATTTATAGGAGTGACATTGATTAATACAATTATATGGGTTTCAGATGTATAATTCTATAATATATCATTTGTATATTGTATTTTGTGTTCACCACCCCAAGTAAGTCCACTTCCATCGCCATTTATCCCCCATACCCTGTTCTACCACCCCCAAACCTGTTTTTGCTCTGGTAATAACCATACTGTTGTCTGTGTCTTTTTTTTATGTTACTCCCTTCACCTTTTCCACAAAGCTTCCCAACTCCCCTCCCCTCTGACAGCTGTCAGTCTGTTCTCTGTATCTATGAGTCTGTTTCTATGTTGTTTGCTAGTTTTTGTTCATTAGATTCCACATATAAGTGAAATCATATGGTATTTATCTTTCTATGACTGGCTTATTTCAGTTAGCATGATATTCTCCAGGCCCATCCATGCTGTCACAAAAGGTAAGATTTCCCTCTTTTTAATGGCCCAGTAGTATTCCACTGTGTAAATGTGCCACAGCTATTTTATCCACTCATCTACTGATGGACACTTGGATTGCTTCCAAATCTTGGCTGTTGTAAATAACACTGCTATAAATATGGGGATGCTTACATTCTTTCAAATCAGTGTTTCAGGTTTCTTCTGATATATTCCCAGAAGTGGAATCACTGCCACCCATTTATTCTTAATAAATACTGAAAGTTGAGGGCCCCTACTCGGTTCTAACTGGTAACTCAGTGGTTTTCCAGATTGAGTACCAGTGCTCCCTCGTCCACGCAGTTTGCTTGTATATGCGCCAGGATGGATGCAAGGGATCATTTCACGGTGCTTCTTACTTGAATCTCTGTAAGGACACTGATTTCATGCTGCTTTCCATTCTGGTCAGTGGTTTGCATATCCATCCCCATCCCCAGCCAGATAGTTTCTTTCTTCTCCTCTGTATTCCCACAGCACTTAACTGTGCTTATGAGGCTGTCCACATAGTAGGTCCCCAGTGAGCGCCAGCCACGCTGAACCCACCTTGGACCCATCAGAGATGATGGTCTCTGAGTATGAGCAGCAATACTAAAAGATAAATCATTTTTCCTGGTAAAAACACATTACGAGCATAACTCCTTTCTCTTTCCACAAACTGAACACAACACTGAAGAGTTTGTAACCATTGCCCTCTAGGCTGGTCCTGTGCCCACATTCAAAGACTACTGATTTTTTGGAGGAAGTTTGACGAAGAAATGTCCAGTTCCTTGCAGAAGCATTGCAGATGTTAAATGTCAGCGGAAGAGCTGACATGCACTGAAGCTGAGAAATTGATTTGCAAAAGCTACAGGCTCGTGCTTTCAAGCGCCCTCAAGTACACTCGCTTCATTTGCATAGGACTTCAAAATTGTTAACATAGAATGAAATACATTTTAAAAAATCCAGGAAAGGTTGTTTTCATATACCAAAGATACAAGTCTTCTGCAGATTTGAGCAGATGGTGTTTCAGGAAGGATGTGGCTGGTGATGGGTGTAATCCGTTTGGCTTCAGTTGCTGGTGGGTTCAGAAACATGGCACATGTCAGGCGGGCTCTTGGTCATGGTCGGCATGGTGATGGTCTGGGGCCGCCTGTTGAGGGGAAAACAAAGGCAGGTTTGGGTAGAGCAAACACAAGTCTGCAGAGCACAGGCAGGATTAGTATTTCTCTCCTTTCTCTTGTATCGGGAACACCACTCGGATCCTCTCAACCACAAGGTTCCGTGTCAGCTTCCTTGCTCATTCCATGGCTGGGTGCCTGCTGCATGTTGGGTAGCTCCTGACAGCTTAGCAGACATGGTGGCAGTGAGGGTGTGGAGGGCTGGTGTGAGGGACCCCGAAACAGGCACCGCTTGCTTCCCCACCCTGCCTTTGCCCCAGGGCTATGTATTTCTGAGGCCTCTCTGTGACAAGAGTTGAAGGGAGCAGTAAGGCTGCTCAGTGGTTTGGGCGATGCCATGCTCCATTCACACGGTGCCCAGGGGCCCAGGGACACCCTGACTTGCCTCAGGGTCCAGGATAGGAAGGGAGAGGATTCTACTGGGAGGCAGGGCAAAAATGTGCTAGTAACGTACGAGATACCTCAAATGGAGGAAAGAATGAAAGTGTGACAAAATTAGAAATACAGTCGTCCCTTGTTTATCGCGAATAATCCATTCCAGACTCTAGCAGCTGCACCTGGCGACGAAGGATTCCTGGGGTGCTCGAACACATAGGCCTACAGTCCATTCGTACAGTAATTTTAATTTAAATTATAATACAGGAGTGTATAATTAACCCAGACAATCAAGCATGCGCTGTATCATTTTCACTGTCTCGATCAACTTTTTAATGAATATATTTGAAAAAACTGTGGTAGAGTGAAGCCGCGAAAGTCGAAGCGCGAAGTGGCGAGGGGCGACTGTATATATTTGGTTTCTGCCCTTGGTTCTTGACACAGAGCTCCTACAACCCTTATAGTTTCCTGAGCTATAGGAGTGCTGGGAGCATCTTTTTTTTTTCTAATACTTGGTATTTGATTCCAGCTACTTCCATAGAGCTCCTGCATCTTTTGGCATTTCCTGAGTGGTTGGAAGGTCTTTGTTCTAATGAGGCCACACTTGGTGGCTCCTGGACAGCTTCAGGATGGGGGCTGGTCACCAGAAAGACCAAGTCATGATAGAAACTTGGAACTTTCAGCCCTGTATCCCATCCTCCAGGAAGGGGCTGGAGATTGAGTTAAAAATTGATCATACCTGTATGGTGAAGCCTCCTTAAAAACCCCTCAAATACAGGCTTGAGAGAGCTCAAAGGTTGGTGAACACACTGAGATGCTGGGAAGGTGGTGCCCTCGGGGAGGGTATGGCAGCCCTGTGCCCCTTGCCTCATGCATCTCGTCTATTTGGCTATTCCTGAGTTGTATTCTTTATAATAAATCAGTTAATAGTAAGTAAACTCTTTCAATGGGTTCTGTGAACAGTTCTAGCACATTGCTGAACCTGAGGAGGGTGTCATGAGAACTCCCAAATTCTAGCAGGGTAGTCAGAAGTACAGGTGGCAACTTGGGACTTGCAATTGGTGTCTGAAGTGGGGAGAAGTCTTATGGGACTGAGCCCTTACCCTCTGGGGTCTGCAGTAACTCTGGGGAGTTTGTGTCAGAACCAAGTTCAATGGTAGGACACCCAGGCATTCTGCCAAGAGCTGGAGAATTCTCAGTGTGTGAAAACCCACACATTTGGTGTTAGAAGCGTGTGAGTAGAGCACGTTTTCACTTTTTTCCCTTTAGGTGTGAGAAAGTACTTGTTCAGTGGGCCGGTGGGATTCTCACATGCGGACAGAAGTTTTTTTCCTCCTACAATCGAGGAGACGAGAGGATCGGTGGCCCAGGCACCTCTGAGGGTCTGGTCCACCAGCTTCATGCTTTCTTGCAGGGGTCATAGTCATCCTGATGAAGACTGAGCAGGGAGGAGGGCTTGACCACCAGGGTTTGCCACATAAGGCTGAAGATGGTTTGAGAACAGAGCTAGTGGCTGGCCCGAGGCACAGTGCAGGGCAGGGAAGATGGCAGATGTGGCCACTCAAATCCAGCTGAATTTTCCTGTGGAGAGAGCTGTCTGGCATTGAGGTAGGGTGTCCTGGCCACTCATGATCCTTCTACATGCAGCCAATTTCATGGCCACAAGCTTTCCCTCAAATCCAAACAAAGCTGTTTTGCAAGTACTCTGAGATTGGGCATGTGGACCCTCAGTTGAAGAATTAAATGTGGGTAATAGAGTGTTTCCACTGGAAAGAACATTGGAGATTAGACAGCTTATATTCCTTAATTTGCATATGAAAAATCATCTACCTCCTGCACGCGACCCCAGTGGAAACCAAACCCAAAACCTAGGTATGTGTCCTGACAGGGAATCAAATCTGCAGCCTTTTGGTGTATGGGACGGTGCCCCAGCCAACTGAGCCACCTGGCCAGGCTCCATGATGACATTTTTTTGGTATCACAGGCACACTGGAGTTAAAGATGAGAGGGGTCTGGAGGTCTGCCCCAGGGGCCTGCTCTGGGCAGGGCATGACGGAGGGGTAGGCTGACTCCCAGCCCAGGGAGGATGAGTGGATGGCCTAAAGAAGCCTTTGGGGTTTTATTTTGTTTCTCACACCACTTGGTGACATCCACCGGCCCCTCCAGGAAGCAAAGAGATTGCTCCAAATATCTCTTTGGGGCAGGGGAGGGGGGTTGGTACAGAGTTTATTTGCTGACCCATGCATAGGGCCTGAGGAGGGTCTTGGACCCTGAGCCTTACACTTAAAGACACCAGTCGATTTCTTGAGCCTATTCCCAGAATCCATTAGAGAGAGAATCTAGGGATCGGCGGAAACAGCTGAATGAGCTCCTGTGGTGGTGCAGAAGGCGGGTGCTTGCCCATTCCCACCCCTGACCCTCACACCTCCTCTCCAGTGGGAGAGCCTGGCTCAGAGTCCCTGAGCTATGGCGTAGTGATGGGGAGAAGCAGCGATGGGGGAGCTGAAATAAACCCTCTTCCTAACCACAATCCTTGATTAGCAAAATGCCAGGATTAGGATCATAAGGGTTCCATATCCTGTATCCTGAATGTGAGTTGAAGTAGACAGCTTGACTGTACACATCAAGTAGATTTTATTTAAATAGGGATTTTCTTTCACATTCTTGGCTACAAGAGGCAGTAAGCCCACTCAGAGAATCTCACTTCCTGGCAGGAGCTAGGCCTGAAGTTGGCCTAAGCACCCCTGTGGGAGGAGCCAAGGGACAAGTAGTTTCCAGTCAGGTATAACCTGGTCTGAGATGATGGGGTTGGTTTTCGCATTTATCTGGCCAAAGTATTGCATTTCTTGAAGCTACGGTGCCACAGATTGTAAAGCGCACCATAACTTTGTGTGTCACTGAGAAAGAAGCAAATCTGCCATTTATATGGTCAGTGACAACAGTCCTGGTATATGAACTGGTCACAGAGCCTCTCCTTGCTTTGAAATTCCTCTTTTCAATTTTGAGGGAAGTGATGATTATTCCCGCCTTTAATCACATTGCTTAGCATGTAAATATGTTCATTAAAAATAGGCTTTTGCAATATATTTTCTACCCCAAAATGTAACACACCTCTGTGGACTTGAGGTATTTACTTTACTTAGCATTTGCTTGGTTAGAAAATATGGCGTGTGGTCATTTCTTCAAAAATGAATATTCGTTTTACTAACATCAAATTTATGTTCCACTGCTGTTCCTGAGCTTTTTGTTAACCTCCATGCTTATCATACTGTCCTCTATTTGAAGACATTTTGAGTGACATTTAAATTCAATATACCTAGTACTAACAGGCATCACTAGGGTGACCCCCTGTCCATGTCTGTGTAGGACAGCCCTGTTTACTCTGGTCGTGGCATCCCATCTGGTCAGCGTCCCCTTTGCTATCTAAAGAGTCTTAGTTTGGAGGATCAAATTCTGTGGTCACCTTATACTTGCCTCCACTGAGGTGGCAGCATGAATGGCTGTGACCGAGAGGCAGTGAAACAAGAGCGACAACCAGCTAAACCGCTGCTCCAACTGCAGGGATTGGGAGGCACACTCAATTTCAGAGATGCTGAGATGTGAGAACATAGGTATCTCAGAATCCATAACATAATAAAGAACTCAGAAGATTTGTGTGTCTGAATATTCACTTTTCCAAGCTGCCAACCTTTTCCTCTAGTAAGGAAAATAAATTCATTCTCATTCAGTTCTTCAAATGGATCCCTGCTAAGAGCGAGGAAGCTACACAATCCATTCCCTTAAGGGCTCCTCCTTTAGTGGGGGAGGCAGGGTACTGAAGACCAGCATGCCCTGAGGTAAGTGCTGTGTGGAGGCGATGACCCTGCCCACAAAGTGTTACAGGGTAGTGCAGTGTTTCTCAACCATTTAAAAATTCATGTTTGCCCGGCTGGTGTGGCTCAGTGGATTGAGCGTCATCCCAAGAACTGAGAGATCCCAGTTGGGCAGCCGATTGATGTTTCTCTCTCACATCAATGTTTGTCTCTCTCTCCCTTCCCCTCTCTATAAAAAGTCAATAAAAATATATATAAGAAAATAAAACATCAAGTTTTTTTTTGTTAAACATTAAAAATCTTCTCCTCCTAAAGATTCAGAAAGTGGCACTTTTCTCCCCAATGTTTCTCCTCCTTTTTTTCAGTTGAAAAAAGAATTCTCCTCAAATTAAAATAATTTAAAGAAGACTATAGCTTCCCAAATATTGTCAAAAATGTCTTATATTGGCACAAGGTGTCCATGAATGGCCTAGAGAAGGTGTTCAGAAGGCAGGAAAGGCAGAAGAAGGCATTTGAGCTGAGTCTTGAAAATGTGTGTGTTGGTATGCAATTAAAAGTTTTCTATCAACCCATCTCTTTGACCCTATAAGTTATTATTATTATTTATTTCTTGTGTATTTTTTCTAGGGGTTCTTTATGTGTTCACTAGTAAATACAAATATAAACCCTTATCTGGCTCCCAGTTTAGCACACTGTACATACTATTCTCCCACCTTCTGTTTTTTGCTTCCTAACTTTATTGTATTGGAAATTATTCTTTTAAATTATGCATGGTATTCTTTTGTACGAATGTACCATCATTAATTCAATTTGTTTTCTACTAATAAATAGTTGAGTTGTTTCCAATCTTCCATTACAAATATTGCTACAATAAATAATCATGGACATTCATCGTTTTATCTACATGCAAGTATATCCATAGAATCGATTCTCCAAGTAGAATTGCTAGGTTGAAAGTTATGTGCATGTAATTAATTTATTCAAAAGTTTTTAATTTTTATGAAATTTTTTCAGTTTTATTGGGATAGAATTGACATCTAACATTATAGTACTTTAAGGTGTGCAACATGATTATGTTTGATATGTGTGTGTATTATGAAGGTTGCATACATTCGAAATCTTGAGAGGCATTGCCAAATTACTCTACATAGTCCTTGCAACAATTTCCTTCCTACAGTCATGATGGAGTGCGTGTGTCCTACAACCTTACTGGCAGTGTGTGAGGTTGGGAGAATAATACCTTCCCCCAAAGATGTCCAAGTCCTAATCCCTGGAACCTGTGAACATGTTAAATACCGTGGCAAAGAGAAATTCAGCACACCTTACAATAGAGAGATTATTATTATTATTATTTTTGCATTATCTAGATAGGCCCAATGTAATCACAAAGGTCCTTGAAAGTAGAAGAGGGAGGTGTGAGTTCTCTACATATTTTGGATATTAGCCCTTCTCGGAGCTGCTGTTTGCTAATATCTTCTCCCATTTGGTTTGTTGCCTTTTTGTTTTGTTGGCAGTTTCTTCTGCTGTGCAGAAGCTTTTTAGTTTGATTTAGTTCCATTTGTTTATTTTTGCTTTTACTTCCCTTGCCTTTGAGGTCAAATTCATAAAATCCTCTCTAAGAAGAAGGTTCATAATTGTACACTTGAAACCTATATAATTTTATTAACCAATGCTACCTCAATATATTTAATTAGAAAAAGATTTTCAGTAGAAAAGGGAAGGAGAAGACTTAGTCAGCGGGAGATGTGACCATAGAAGAAAAGCACAGAGATGGATGTTACTTTAAGATGGAGAATGGGACCATCAGCAAAAGAATGTGGGCAGCTCTAGAAGCTGGAAAGAGCAAAGGACCCGGATTCTCCCCTAGAGCTTCCGTAAAGGAACATAGCCCTGTTGACACCTTGATCAGCCCAATGAGATTGGACATAACCTATAAAACTGTAAAACAATTAATTTGGCTTGTTTAAGCCTTTATGTTTGTGGTAAATTGACACAGTAACAACAGAAAACTAATACATTGTTACCAAATTTATAGATGATTGCCATCATAAGGTGATGTTATCTCACAGTAGTTTTAGTTTACATTCCCCTTATTATGAGTGACATTAAGCCTATTTTTATAGATTTATTTCCTTTCCTTTTCTGTGATATGGCTCCTTTTTTCTTTTTTCCATTTAGTCCTCACCCAAGGGAATTTTTGCACTAATCTTCAGATAGAGCAGGAGGGAGGGAGGAAGGAAGAGAGAGAGAAAAACATCAATGTGAGAGAGACACATCCACCGGTTGCCACTCACACGGCCCCGGAAAGGGGGACAAACTGCAACAGCAGCACGTGCCTTTAGCGGGAACCGAACCCGAGAC